TGGGACTCATTTATACAAAATACAGTAGGTTAAAAAAAATGATAGTCATATAAATGTATTAGAAATATATAGGTACTTGAATGATATTTGTATTAGATAAGTATATATAGAATTGTAATTGTTTACTATAATGACATTAACATTTTTTCTTTGTTGTATTTCTTTCACTTTTTTGTTAAAACTTTCTGTGTTTGTCTTTTTTTCCTTCTCAAGAATAATAAATAAAGATTTCTAAGGGTATCCACTCAAAATATAGAAAGCTTGAAAATTTGAAACCGGTATTAAAGGAGATAAGAACAATGGCCTACATCTATGCAATTACGCATATCTAAGATTTGAATTCAGCAGATAAATTTATTTATAGAATCTATATGGCCTCTTGAGAGTCAGTTTGATGTAGTGGTTAAAGCATCAAGCTAGAAACTGGGAGCCCATGAGTTCTAGTCCCATCTAGGCACAAAGCCAGCTGGGTGACCTTGGGCTGGTCTCTCTCTCTCTCTCAGCTCTAGGAAGGAGGCAATGGCAAACCACTTCTGAAAAACCTTGCTAAGAAAACTGCAGGGACTTGTCCAGGCAGTTTCTGAGAATCTGACACAATTGAACGGAAGGAGGCAATGGCAAACCACTTCTGAAAAACCTTGCTAAGAAAACTGCAGGGACTTGTCCAGGCAGTTTCTGAGAATCTGACACAATTGAACAGATTAAAAAAAAGGGGGGGGCTATTTCACATAGTGATCCTAGGCAGCTCACAACAGCTAATAAAAACAGGACTAAAAGCAGAACAATCTTTCCCACCAGGTGCCAGACCAACCAAACTATTAGCCTCCTGACTCAACACCCCCAACCTAGTCCAGTACTTGGAGGAAGATACAGGTCTTCACAGCATTCTAGAAAACTAAAAGGGTAGGTCCCCCTCAAATCTCAGGTGGGAGGTTATTCCAAAGGGCTGGGGTAGCTTCAGAGGAGATACATCTCTGAGATCTCATTAGATGACAACATTTAAGGGAAGGGACCTGGAGCTGCCCACCCTATCTGACCTAGTAGAATGAGCAGATACCCTTGGGGGAGGTGGTCCCACAAAAAAATCTGGCCCTTGAATTGCATTCAGAAAGGAACTGGGAGCCAGTGCAGCTCACATGACAGTGGTATAACTTGAGCAAACTGCAGGGCGCCCAGAACTCTGCATGCCACTGCCTTCTGGACCAGCTGCAGCTTCTGGATGGTCTTCAAGGGCAGCCCCATGTTGAGTGCATTGCAGTAATCCAAATGAGAAGTGACTAGAGCATGAGTGACAATGAGCAAGCAAATTTGCAAAATAAGACAATGGCAAATGCCAGCATATGTACAATTCACTGGGAGTTGGCTGGCATATAAATGTAATAAAAATTATTGTTGGTCTCACAGTCAGCCAGATGTTTAGACTGGATTTGGCATTTTTATCCTCCTACTGAGTCTTCTTCTTCTTCTTCTTCTTCTTCTTATTCTTATTCTTATTATTATTATTATTATTATTATTATTTTAAATGCTGTATAAATCCATATTAAATACTACTTAGGAGTTTCAAAATGGGTACTTTGAAAAAAAGAAAAGAAGTAAACAGCAAAAGGATAAAAAAAAAATTTCTTGAAACTAAATGTGAGATTGAAAGAAAAGTAGAATTAACTTCAATATTTTAAAAAGAAACTTATGACTTTACCTAAAATAGTTATGAGCACATAGTGCAGAAAAAAGTGTATTTGTATACTAGAATTAGTTTTCTCCAGGTTACAACATTCAGTAGATGAAACATGAATATAAATAGACTCTGTCAAACTAAGTCACACATAGATATCCATGACTTTACCTAATGGAAAGCTGTTAAAATAATCCTTGTAATTACTGTTACATGTTTTCAGATGACAAAAGTTTGTATTTCAATAATCCTAAAAATTTATTTACATTCTTACAAATACGAGTTAAACATACGAAATATGGATATTTATCCCTTGGTTTAGATAATATACAGAAGCTTTATATGTACTATGCAAACAAGTTGAATTCCACTTTGTATAAAATATATGTATCATATTTACATATAGGTCTAGGCTAAAAGTAGGAGTTGAATGCACTATTATAAATAAATAGTTTAAACCATTTGGTAACTGTTGACAAAGTTTTCTTTATACAGCATATGCAAATGATATTGAACCTTTGAAACATCATGAGTTGTGCTCAAATTTACAGAAATTGTTGTTACATCCTAATATACACTTTAATCCAAAACCAGTTTCTAATCAATTAAGACAGCAACTATTTTAATGAACTAGATATTTATATCAAACATATTTTTCTGTTTAAGTACGCTTCGGATCATTGGCTGATTACATAAGCCAACCTTGAGGTCATGCTGGATAGAGTGGATAGAAGCTTTAGCCCAGCATATATTCAGGGCACTGGATACGGGAAGTCATACTCTTGCCCATGAATTGAGATTGCCATACACCTAAGCTACATCCACATGTAGCTATCTGCTATAAAGCTAAATTTGTCTACTGATAATTAAAATGGGTAGATAAAACTGAAATCTTACATTTACAATTTAAGCAGAAATAATATTGTATACTTTCATACACACGTTTTTCTCCAATTTTAGTGTTTTTTCCTTGTAGATCAAAGTCTGCCACAGAATTGTACAATCTGGAGGTCATTTAATAATACATGGTTCTGAAAACTGTCACTGTCAGGATTACACAGAAAAGTGTATATTGTTTTTAAACAGAAAGCAGCAGTTTCAGAGCTTTTACAACTGCGGGCATCCCTTTGTATGAAAAGTAGGTATAACTCTGTTATTCCTCAATTTTTAGAATATTGTAGGGGGGAAACTAATAGAAGACACATTTTAAAGTCCTTTTATTTTATTCCTGGCTTTGATTTCCAAGAATATATTCATGAAAATAAATTGGGCCCAATGTCGGGGAGGGGGAAGGAACAGGAAGAAAGGCTGATGAAAGCAGCATTGTGGCGGCACAAGCCCCACTCCTTTTCTACATATATCCTGCCATTGTATACATGCCCCAAAGTGTTGGAGCTTGCAGTTTGATGCTGCTTTTATCATTCTGGCAAAAACAACCAGATTCTGTGGATGCATTGATAGATCCCTTTTCTATGTTCGAATTTATTAAAGTTATACTCTTAAATGCTGATAACTTGAAATTAAGTTCCATCAGAGGAAGAGAACGTTTAGGATTCAAGTCTAAACTTTATCTATTTAGTGATAAAAATCTGCTGCTCAACTTACAGAATTGGTAGAAACTGAGAATTAATCCAGCAGTTGATTTCTCAGTAAAATCAAGGTATAGCTACAGTAGTTTGTATACCCGAACATTTTCTTCTAGTAAACAATGCATAATTGTTTAATTTATTATTCAAATACAATCAAATTTAATTCATATGAATATGTTTAGAATTACTGAAAAACAATATGGTAATATATTAACAATTTTGCAAAGTATAGAGTTCCTTTTTTTCCCAAGTCTCCTGGCTATCCTGGAGTATGATCCAGCTCAGATCTAAACAAGACATTAACATATGTTATCTAAGAATCTAGTTATATATAAAATGCACATCTAAAAATTCACATTCAAAAAATGCAAAAATAATTGTTTCTCTATTTGAGTGAGCAACTCAATGCAATTTATGCCTTTTATTGCAAATAGGACAAAAATGACATGTGTGCCTGTCTGCTTATCTGAACAAGTGGATTGGATTCAGCATGTGCTTTGCAAATACTAACAGTTGCTATGAAAGTCATTATTTTAATAATGCAGAATGTCCTTTTCATTTATGGAAAAAGCTAATATGCAATCATATTAAAGAACCATTTCAATATAATAATGTCAAGTCAATTCATATTAAACGTGGTAATCAAAATGCAAATGTAACTTGTTACTAATACTTTTACCAACCCCAAAAGCAGTTTACCACATCAAACAGAAAACCAAGGTGTTATAAAACAAGTTCAATTTTGAAGAAAGCAATGTTTATTCTATTGAAGAAATTGTCTGGAATCATACTATTTGTTTAAACTTTTCTTCCACTTACCACTGCTTTCATAAAGCTGCAGGTTAAAAAAAAAAATTTCCAAAGATTTCAAAGTCAACTTTGTAAAGTAATGTTTTGCTATGACATATTTACAGTTGATTTTTTAAAAAAAGAATTACTTCAAATATTTCATGTTATGGTAATGACAACCATACATCTCCTTTACAATGAAATTTCATAAGCTGACCTTTGTCTGATCAACATAAAACTTTAAATCAGAACTGATAACAGTCAAGTCAAGATTGGGTAAGATTCCACATTAAAATATAAGGTCTTGATCACTAGCGGGAACAATGAGGATTGACTGATAAATACATTTACAGTAACTGTAGTTTCAAGTGATGGCTTAGTTTTTTCAACAGTTGCCAAAGTTCCACGACAGTTTACCTATCATATGGACCTCGTGCTTTTGGCACAAGTAACAAGGTGTTATTCTTCAATGTACATGTTTATAAATGTTACCATCCTTATTCATTAAAAATCTAACAAACCTAAAACTCTGGTATAAATCTGTAATATAATTACAAATGCGTAAATAATATACACAGATATACTTAAGGATACTACTGAGACGTTGTCAGCCTGATAGGATAGAGTCACTTGCCTTTTCTATCCACCAACAGTTCAGTCTTTGTGGTGATCAAAACGTCCTTGTTCAAATCTAGCAATTTTGGTCACACCCCAGTATATAAAGACAGAAAATAAATGTACAATAAAAAGATGGGATAAATCAGAAGAGGCTTCTTAGTTTTAAATTCTTCACCAACTAATAAGGAAGCAGCACTGTATGCAGCCCAAAACACTCCAAAAAGCTGGCAGAAATAAAAAAAGAAAATGTTATCAAGGCAAGGAAAGTCCCAAACTGCACAACAAAACAACTTTTTGTATCAAGAACCAGCAGAATAGATTGTGGTTATGTACAATAATCTGAAACTAAATTCCTAATGCTGTCTGGGCACTCTGGAGTTGTAGTCCAATGTATCTGGAAGGCACTACATTGTAGAAAGCTAATCTCCAGTAAGACCAAATCAGTAATACCAAATGAATGTATTTACAAAATCAGAAAGTCTGGCATCCTAACAAGGATTTTTTTGTTTTTTGTTTTTTCTCCCCTTAGTTACTGAAGCAGTCAATTTATCATGTGTTTGGAGAAAAAAGTCATTTCATCCAGCTGTTTTTGAAAGGTTCATTAGCAAGCTGGTTTCTTTTCTTTCACTAAGTATAATATGAAAGGTATAGTTTTGATATGTTTTTCTACATCAGCCAAAATATTTATTTATAGGAATACAGCCATCAGAAGATGGAATACTGTAAGTCAAGTTTCTTTAGCATGTGTGTCACATTCACAGATGTTAGTTTCCAGAAATTTTAGAGCATTTTGATTTTTTAAAGTGTAAGTTTTAACATATAGTGCTGCAAACCATGTTTTAGGTTCTTTTTCTCACCCTTCCATTAGAAACAAACAAATGTGCAATTTGCATAGCTTTTACTTCTGTGAACTTTAAAGCCAGAACTAGCTGTGTTTGTCATAGAGTAAAATGGGTTGAGTTCAGAATTGTTCTTCAGAGAACAGAAAAACTCTTCCAGTTCTTAAGAAAACAACTCCAATAGACACTTCTGCTAAAAAAGAAGCAGATGCAGTTTTCACCGTATCTTCCTTACAGTCCTTCAGCCACCACCTCTATTGAGCTACAGATCTTTCCAGATGTATATTCTGACAGGGCAAAAGGGGTAAGGAATTAAATGTTATCCACTGCAGGAAGTTAATCCCATTTCTTCAGTGCAACTCATTTTCCAGCATATTTCAAGAAGCATATACTTACATAAAATAAAAAACTATCCAGTTTCTCACAAATATGTCTTCAATCAAAACTTCCATGAGGCAAAAAAGGAACTGATGTTATCAAACTATATTGGGTATTATAAAGTACACATTACCTGTAACTACCAATAGGTCTCAAGCATTTTCAAAACGCCCTTTTTAATAAATCAAAGTTCCCTCCTCACTTGTTTTGTCCTCTTGATTTGCCTCCTTCTCTTGATGTTATTTGACAGTCTGCTCTGTTCTAACATCACAGTGGGCCTGTAGTCACTGGATCCTTAGGCTCAGCTAATCAGATGTTGTAGTGAAACTAGGCTGCTTTGATCCAATCAGTTGAGAATTGTAGAAGGAGGGAAGATGTCGCTTAGACATCAGTAGTTTTTATAGGCATAGATTAGCTCAAAAGCAAAACAGAACAGTGTACTACCTGCTTAATATACTACTGTATAAAATTAACTCATATTTTTGAGATGTCTGTCTTGTCATGCAGAATATTGAACTTACTTTTATTAGAGTAGAAACAATTTCAAATGATCCAACCACCAGGAGCACAGGTGCTATTACAATAAGAGGAAGTAAAGAATATCCAATCACTCCAAGAACTTGGCCATATGCAACCTGTAAATTTAAAATACGTTTTTGAACACTTCAGACACTGTTTCCAATAATTCAGTATCAAGAAAGATAACTGCTCAAGCTTGAGTACATAAGTCATATGTTCTTACAAGGCTAATATCCCAAAATCCTCTTCTTCATACAGTCATTTTCTAAATGATTATCACTTTGCAGAATAATGGACTTAAGCTATAAGAAGAAAGGTTCTGGTTTAATGTTAGAAAAACATTCCTAATAATAAGCAGTTCAACAGTGGATGTTGAAAAGAATATACTAAAAGAAAAGGATGGGTTTGAAAAGGGTGTTGAAAAGAAAAGGGTATTGAAAAGAAAAGGATGTGCTTGAAGACAGGCTGGATACCCATCTGTCTTGAATACTTTAATTTGGATTCCAGTGTTTAACAGCAGAATTGACTCAGTGGTCTAAACAGCCCTTTTCAATGCTATCACTCTTCTTTTTCTACACTTGCTAGCTTGCTGTTGATGCTATACTAATAAATGAAACCAATAATAATGGGCAACCACTATTTTTCCAAGTTGTCTTCAGACAGGACCATAAAATGGGCAATTAAGGAATGAAAATTCACGTAGCTAGAGCCAATTTTAAAATAATTTAAGTTGAGCTTTCAAATACCAAGTCCACTTTCACAAGATTCTTACCTCTCCTCCAAGAACTCTGGCCAACAGGAAGATTGTTAAGGATCCAAATATCCAAATAGTTATAATCCAGGATACCACCTTAAGAAATTGTTAAAGATTCTAATCAACATGGATTTTTCTGAACTGAACAATTAATTAATTCTGACATAACAACTAAAGCTAATTTCCTTAGTTTACTTTTAAAGTTAACAAACAGATATGTTGTATATAAGTAGGGAAAAGGATAAAATAAAATGAACACTCTCCCTTAAAGTGAAAAATCATGCCTTCCATCAGGCCATTCACTCCTGTTCATGCAATTGTGCAGGCCTTATTCTAGAGAAAACCCTCCAAATTTTCATAAAATTCTACCTGCATAAACAATAAAGAGCATTATATGAGCCATCACCAATCCACCATTGTTCACCAGTGTTCAACACTGGCAAACTGGATCCTGATTTAGCAATTTGACTCTAGAAAGCGTTAGGGATCTGTCATGGCAACAGAGAGGCTTTTTCTCTGTCTCTCTTTTGATAATGTAAAAGAGAACTAAAAAGTTAGACCAGAACTACAGTCCACCAATAGTCGTTCCCACATCTCTGAGAATTACACTCGAGGAAAAATGAAGGAAGAAATTATCAAACTTCTGCTCCTGCTGTCACAGCACTGAACAGTTTTTAAACTATCGAAACACATGATGATTCTCTTTTTCATGCCCTCTCTCCCCTGGGAAACTGTAAAAGAAAGCAAATAAATACCAACCTAGAAATACACAATTTTCTCTCTAGAGTTTACAGGACACTAATCAGAGATTCTTAAAACCATGTATCTACTTAAGTAAAAAAATTATCCAAGCATTTCTAAATATATAATTGGTTATGTATTGTAATCAGTGTTCATGAATAAACTTACTAGTCATCAATTAAGAGAAGGTGATTTCTTGTGGATTTCCAATTTGTTAAAAGGAGTTAGAAGAAAATAGAAGAAAATATGGATCTGGATTAAGGTGTTAGGCTTACTCCTAAATGATCTGGATTTAGGGACATGCAGGGAAATAGCCAAGGATGGCAAAAACAGAAGTGGACCACAAAGATTTCTAAGGCATTCTCTCCAAACTTGGGGGTTCAGCAAGAAAATGGCAAATATGGCTTAACCATAATTACACAATGAGGCACAGTAGATAAAAATCCTAATTTCACAAACACAATAATTAGAATCATCAGGATGGTCAATCACCACAGCTGGCATTGGTATAGAAAGGGATAATCAAAATAATTCAAAATTTGTAGGGAATTAGGAGATACATAATGTATAAGTATGCAAAATATTGGAAAAAATAGAGGACTGGTTGCTTCATATTATGAAAATTTGTGATTCTCCTAATGAAACTGAATGACAGTAAATCCTAGGAAAGTCCTGGGCTTCAGGATGGGCTTGAACATGTACATTATACCTATCAACACCTCCTTAATTCAAACACATATTTTCTTAAGATAACACAGCCACTCTGCAAACTCATGCAGCTTTTTAAAGGAGATGCAGCTTTTTTAAGGAAATGCTGACAGATGCAACACTTGTTCCCACACTTGCTCCAAAGCATCTTTCCACTTCAGACCCTAGTAAATCCTGAATAGATAATAGTCAAATAAACAAATAGATAAAATGCAGCACTCCATGCATAAACACAACACTACTGAATCTGATAATGCTTCAGATAACTTTAAAAGCAATTAATTATGTATCAAATCAATCAGTGGTTCCTAGGTATGATAATCTATAATAGTAACAGCAATGGTAGTAATAGTTTTATTTATTTTGCATTTATAGAACATTCAGATTGAAAAAGTTATTACTATGAGCTGCTATTATCTTCAAGCTCTGTCTATGAAATTCTTATTGGCCAAGATGGGAAACAAAATGAACTAAATGGATCTGCAGTTTGATCAGGAGGCCTCTGCAAAATTGTTCATGGATTCAACCTGAATGCAGATAAACTCCAATGCAAACATACACCCTGAATATGTATCCCTGTTTACATCACGTTCCTCATCCTGGTCCCAATGAATGGATGGCTGAATGTGATTAAGGTAGGAATTTCAAAAAGGAGCCAGCCATTATATTGTTCTATCAATGGATTAGGGCCAAAAAGTTCAGTTTGCAGGACACATTCCACTTTCACCTGGAAGTTGTATATTAAAAGTAAACAAAAGAGCAGGGTAACATAAGCATGGAGCAAAATATTGAAGGAGGAATAAAATTTAAGAGAAAAAAATATCACTAGATAAAAGAACCATATTCCAGTATATTACTTCAAGGTTCTATATGAAGATTCAGGGAAGTTTAACATTTGACTGATAAGAGTTTAAGACAGTGCTTCTCAACCTTGGCAACTTTGAGATGCGTGGACTTCAACTCCCAGGATTCTGGGAATTGAAGTCCACAAATCTTAAAGTTGCCGAGGTTGAGAAACATTGGTTTAAGATAATGATGGTGCTTTAAAAAAAAGACAAAATTCTTTACCCACCTTGAACTGTCCATATAATGAAATCATTGAGAAGAATAAGACAACAGCCAAAGGACCCCAGAAGTCAGGATTATCTCTTACTACTTGTCTGTTGAATCCGAGAGAAGGCATTGGCATCAAGACGCACCGAATTTTGTAGTATATATCCTTCAGATCAATGTCTAATTCTTCTCTAATGTTATAAAAAAAATAGAACTTCCATAATATGTCCTGAAATTATGGTTTAGCATTATTTCAGAAGACTTATTTTCCCCCCAAATACCTTCAGCTGTTATTGAACAAGCAGAAACACTGACATTTTTAACACTAGCAGGACAATAAACAATAAGCTAAGCCACTCCTTATAATATGGCAGCCACGGGCCTATTCCAGGACATTGGTGGGCCCCCCCGGGGCAGGGGTGACAACCCCCACATGGTTTTTTTGTCGGGGGA